ATACCCTTTACTATTTTATAATTTGGTTTCTACACTAAGTCAAGATAAGGGCGAAATGATAGCTATTAGAGAGATTAAGATAGTTGTTCTCCATTTCAAGACCCGCTAGGTCCTATTTTACATCCTTCCTTGATTATCTTGGGCACATTAAGCCTAATAGTAAATCTACAATCAGCTACTATCTGCAAAGCTTGAAATGCATGACTGTTTACTAGAAGACAAAGTAGAATGAAAGAGAAGCCAATAAAAATCAAACAAGAAAAAAGAGCTTCGACTTACACCATTTTACAATCATCAGTGTTACTATTTTTGTTCTTACCTACAGTACTTACTTCCTTACATCGATACACACACACACACACACACACACAATACTAACTTACTTACGTGCATACATACTCACTTAACAAACAGACCTGGCATGACTTTCCTGATTATGTGGTTGGCGTGAAAAGGGTGTGCAAAGTACCAAAGGGCTGATTTGGAGCTGGGTTCTTAGGGAATAAATGGTCATACTCTCAAGCCGTTTTTGGAATTTAAAATTCAAGTTATGGCTGTAATAGCAGGATTCCTTAAATTCAAAATTCAGTCACTTTTCTTCTTTTTTTTTCTCAAGAAGTGATTATTTTTATTTTTTATTAAATACTTTTATTGGGGGCTGTTACATCTCTTATCACAATCCGTACATTCATCCCTGTGTCAAGCACATTTGTACATATGCTGCCATCATTTTCAAAGCATTTTCTTTCTACTTGAGCCCTTGATATCAGCTCCTCATTTCCCTCCCCGCCTTCTCTCCCTCCCTCATGAACCTTTGATGAGTTATATATTATTGTTTTCATATCTTACATCATCTCTGTCACCCTTCACTCACTTTTCTGTTGTTTGTCCTGGGAGGGGGTTGTATGTTGATCCTTGTGGTCAATTCCCCCTTCTCCCTCTACCCTCCTCTTATCCTCTTGGTATCTCTATTCTCAGTGGTGGTCCTGAGGGGTTTATCTATCCTGGATTCCCTGTGTTTCGGGCTCTTATCTGTAGCCGTGTACATGCTCTGGTCTAATCCGATTTGTAAGGTAGAATTGGGGTCATGATAGTCGGCGGGGGGGAGGAAGCATTAAAGAACTAGAAGAAAGTTGTGTTTCATCAGTGCTATACCACACCCTGAAAATCAGTCACTCTTCCCCAAAGAATTCTATCTATGTATTTCACAATCACATAGTAATTCCTTGAACAAGTCTATATCAGTGTTTTAGAGTTTTTTGATTTGTTTTTAATTTTAAAGTCTCTCATATCTAGATTGCAAAGCACTGGTCTGTGACAAGTAATGACAAGCACAGCACTAGTGAGGAAGGAGGCCGGTTACAATAGCTTGGTCATGTGTGCTTTGGCATGGATAGTCCTTTACTCATCTGCAATGCTGTAACACCACTTTGTTTCTGAAGAGCGGCTCCTGGGTTCTGGCTACTTAAATGTTTACTGCATTTGCAACTGGGAACTTAATCTGGAAAATCAGAGGAGAAACGCTGCTGTGCCCATATACTGAGAACAAGGGCAAGTGTTCATAAATATTTATATTTATAATGAAAAATTACACCGATCTTGTCTGTTTTTTTGGGAACTGGACTACTTTCAAAATAAGCACCCTTTTTTGGTCTTCAACCGAGCAAAAATCTAAAAAGGCAAGTTTTCCAAACTTCTTTCCAGGAATGAAATATTTCTCACTGACACGGAGTCGATTCCGACTCACAGGGGAGAACTGACCACTGTGGGTCTGATCCTCGTAACTATGGGAGCGCAAAGCCTCGCCTTCCACGAAGCGACTGGCAGTTTCAAACGGCTTTCTGATCTTACGTTTAGCAGCCCAATGCTTAGCCCCTGATGCCACCAGACTCTACCTGTGTGACCAGGAGAAAGATAGGCTGTTGCAGAGAAAGGAAGAGAAAGAAGTTACTGGCTTTCTGTTTCAGAAAGCCACATGTGCAGTGATGCTCAGTTCTGTAGGGTGCTGTCAGTGGGAATGGACTCCGTAGCAGTGCGTGGGACCTATATGACAGAACGAGTTGGGGCTTTGAGGGCCATTTGAGACACAAAGGTGAAGAATGCATAGGCCTTCTCCCACAAAGCTAATAATCTCATGTGCTTAAAATGAAAACATATGCAATTCATATTAAGACCGCAGAATCAAGATGGAAAAATATTCTAAGATAGTAATAATGCGGCAAAATATGAAATTACATTTAAGAGGTTCAGGTGATCAAAATCTATTATGTAACTACAAAAAGCAATGCTTGCTCAAACAAATTCATCTTGACCAGGCAGCACTTGCAAGCATATACACACTCAGATACTTGAAGTAGAATTAAGTGAACTCCCTAAAACAACACAAGTTACTCTGGATACGGAGACAGTGGTATTATATTCCTTGATCTGGACACAATATTTCTATTAATTCAGTGTTTTACACTTCCTTTTCTAAGTCATTTCACATAGGTAACATTTGTGTTTTTAAAGAGTCATAATCAACTGAAATCTACAAATGATATAAGCTACCATACAGCAATGATAGCAAAATACCTATAAGCCATTTTATAAAAAGATGAAAGAAATTGAAGATCTGGCTTCTTTTGGAGATCTGCAGGTGGGTGGAAGAGGGAACAATATATAACAGCTGTGGATGAATGCCTCTGAGGTGTCAACACAAGGGGCCCAACATTATTCCATGGAAATACAAAAATGGTATAATGGGATAAATTAGATTGAGGATATTTGCAACAAATGAGATTAAACAAAAAGCGTATGAATTGTTGATGATCTGCTTTGCTAGCCTTCCTTCAATTCACAAGAAAAAGTTTACTACCAGCATCTTGGGCTTGCAACAGCATTGTACCTTGCACCTTGGTGAACTCCATGGATGAAAAGAGGTCAAGCAGAAATGAGTAGCCATGTATCAAGAAAATCCTGTTAGTATTTCTCAAATTTGGTAGGAATCGGAGGCAGATTTCTAAAGCTCTTCTTATCTTGGAAAAGCTTGTGCCTTCATTGTTGGTTATACACAAGGCTATTTAAGAAGACCCACTACAGCTACTTTACAAGCAGTAGGTGATCTCAAGAAGCAGAAATAATGAGGCCAGGAACAAGTTGCTCACCATTGAACTTCATCTAAGACCTACTACGCCAGCGGTTCTCAACCTGTGGGTCGTGACCCACAGGGGCCACCGATTCATAACAGTATCAAAATTACAGTTAAGTAGCAACAAAAATAATTTTATGGGTCACACAACACGAGGAACTGTATTAAGGGTCTGGGCATTAGGAAGGTTGAGAACCCCTGGACTAGGGCTTGTAGCTTTTAGATGACGCACTAGAGCCCCCCTTTCTATCCCACTGATTTGACCAGGGGAAGGGCATGCCAGTCACAGAGGTTTGCTTTCTCATCATGGAATAAGAAAAGTTTTAGACCCTTTCCTCTAATGTTCTTCCTACTGTTTACATGTAGACTGCACCAAAACATAAGAATCTGCACTGTTCTCCTGTGGTTAAAGAGAGTATGCAAAGGGAAGGCTGGCCTGATCACTTCCCTCCGACCCACTCAACCTCAAATTGGGCTGGATCTAGCATGTGCCTTGGATGTGTGAGACATGGAAAACATGTTTATCATAAGTGAGCTACACATGGTTAGCATTATGAAATTTACAAAAGCAGTCAACTTTAAAGTTGAGTTCTGGGGCATCAGAGGAGACAAGTCTCAAGTTTTAAACGTACAGTATAGCCTATGAACTCAGTTGCCAATATTAAATCCCATACCAGGAACACACCAGGTTTAAAGATATCAAATGTCCATCTTGACCTCCCTTGGTTTTCGTCATGGCTATTTAACACTGTGGTCAGAGTATAATAGGACGTAAATAACACCAAGTGGCTCTTACATAATTCTATATAGTTATATTCTAAGAAATGAAATGAAAATTCCTTCACTAGTACCTTCAACACTGGTACTTGAAATAAAAACTATAAGTCATTCATCTACCTTGATCATATGGGCAGGTCTTGAAAATTTATCAGAATAGTGACAGTGTTGTGGTATTATATTTCATAATGTGTGTGTGTGTATATATATATGTATATAGTTTTATTGGGGGTTTGTACAACTCTTATCACAATCCATACATACATCCATTGTCAAGCACATTTGTACATTTGTTGCCAACATCATTCCATAATGTATATTTTAGAATATCTATAAACATATATATAGTCTCAATGTGGTAAAATACAGCATGCAAATTATCAACCCCTCCTTTCTTTTCTATATATTAAGAAAAAAAAAAAGAGAAGAGATTGAA